TTATGGCTTCTGGGACAAGGTCATGGTCCTTAGTTTTGGACTTTACGTCACTTACCGTAACTAAGGCGTGGCCCTATTGTAATCTGTGGGATGAGTGCGTACAACGCAGAACCAAACCGTACCACAAGTGATGAGCCAAAGATGCTGTATTGCAAAAAACCTAAGCTATTCTAGAAAAATGACAAATTATGCATTTCAAATTTTTTTAAAAAGAGGAAAAAGCAAGCAAGCAAAACAAACAAACTTTACTTACTATAACGTTATCCTAGTTCATGTTTGAAAATCCTTACGTTTTCAAGTTTCACACATGAAAAAAGAGATGCACAATTATCACTATAATCGCGTAACTTTAAGAGAAAGATGGGGAAACTGTTCAAACTGGTAGTAATAATACGTGTTTATGCTCGCGACGGAATAACCGCAAACTAACTGAAATGAGAAAGCTATTTCGTATTCGAAAACGAGTTAACCTCAATCAAATGGCGGTCTCTAGTTTTCCCCAGGGTTATGGCCTTGAACTTTAACCACGGGTTTTTCCCAAGGTGGCCGGGATTTCCCTAAAATTTGCAAATATTTTCGAGTTTTGCTTTATATGTTGGTGAAAAAGTTTGAAATACGTTCTTTTTACAAGTTCTGAAACGTATTAGTATTTTGCTCGGGGCGATGCTCGGAGCTACATCCTATAAATAGTTTTTCGTAATCAAAATATTGCCTTGAAGATAGAGCTCTCCATCTGGACTAAGGTAATGACCCTGAGTTTTTGGTCTTTGTCCCAAGGTCGAGGTCCTGGATTCTGGACCAGGGACACAACTTTTTTATGAACATGCAAAGTTAAACTCGAAAATGCATGCCGGTTCTAAAACATATTTCAAATCTAAAAGTTAGAAACTTTGTTTATCAACATGCGAAGTTAAACCCGAAAATTCTTGCAACTTCTAAAACGTAATTCAAATATTTTCCCAACACTTAGAAACTATTTCATTAAACTATAAAAGCTTGTTTTAAGAGACACAAAGTTTTTATCAACATATAAAGTGAAAGTCGAACGTGGTTGCAAGTTCAAAAACGTATTTCAGATATCTTCTTAAAACTAAGACACTTTTTCACCAACATATAAAGTTAAACTGCATAATGCTCGTAAATCCGTGGGAAATCCCGGGACAATGACCCCGACGACCGCGAGGAGAACCCGTGGTAAAATTCTAAGGGCCCGACTCGAGACCAAAGTTCAAGGTCATGACCTTCAGGAAAACCCGATTTTCCAACGTTAACTTGTGTTCGAATGCGAAAAAGGATAACTGTGCATCATTTTCAAACATGAGCTAGGATAACGTTATAGGTTGGTAAAGTTTTTTGGTTTTGCTTGCTTAGTTGCTTGCTTTTGCCTTCTCTTCGTAAAACTTTGAAATGCATAATTTTTCATTTTTAACGTAAAAATATTTATGTCTTACTAACCTATCATAGCACATTTTATGTGTGATACGCGGGCATAAAGCACCACTTTATGCCCTAGAGCATTAAGTATCACCATAGTAACTCATTTATACTTAATGACCAAACAAACAAATATTTGCAGGTCATTGAAAATTAGAAACGTCAATTATTAATTGTCAATACCTACTAAATCACAAGATTGGCCTTATTTCGTATAGTTTCTGGAACTTCTTGCTCATTCACGATGAATTGAATTATTTAAAATTACGTTTGACGTTTGGATGGTTTCAATCACATTAACAAATTCGAACTACGCATACTTGATCAAACATAATGATCAATTATTTTGTAAACGAATATTTACTTTGACGAAGAAAACTATTTGTAAGACATAAAATTTTGTATGTACCACGGGCATAAACTGATGTTTATACTCTCGGGCGACTAAAAAGCTCTCGGGCCTATCGGCCCTCGAGCTTTTTAACTCGTCCCCCTCGAGAATATAAACATCATTATTATGCCCTTAATACATAAATAACTATTAAAACAGCCAGTTTTTACCTTTTCCAATCTTACATGGGTCGTAAGATATGATAACATCCACAAAAAGTCAAACTTTTCGTTTTCATCCTGTATCTCAGAAACAAACGTAGGTATAGAGTGATTCTGTTTGTGTTATTAAATAAAAGTTTCACACAAAATTGGCACAGGGTCGCGAAAACCGCAAGAGTATCTTTAAAAATAGTTGAGATATACTGCAGTCTCAACCAAAATAGGGCAAACGGTACTTCATCAAGAATCTATAGCAACAAAACAAACATTGCTGTCATGATTTTCATCCCCTCTCACCGCACTCTTCAATATTAACATTTAGTTCTTCAGAAATAGCTTCTCGCCTGTCCTAAACGTAGATTTTCTTGTTTTCACAAACTGTACCTAAAAGATCGATTGAGTTAGTCTATATGTATTATATGCAATACATTCATGAAACAAAACGCATCTCTTATTTTTGCACTTGACCAAACAATAGGGCTGGGCGATTACGGGTTTGAATAATCGATAATCGATTATGAAAAATAATCGATTAATCAAATAATCGATTAATAAAAAAATCGTTTAATCAAATAATCGATTAATCAAATAATCGATTAATCAAATCATCGATTAATCACCTAATCGTTTAATCAAAAGTCGATTGTCACATACAAGGAGTGATAAATATCTGTATGCATTAATACGTTAATTATTTAATAATAAAAATAAAAAATAATTCCATTACTCTTTTCATCAAATCGTTCATTACTAGGCAGATCGATTAATCAATAATCAACAAAGTGTCCCTGGTTCGAATCCGAGTTCGGGCATGGATATTTGCAAATGCATAGTGGGTTGGTTGGTAGAACAGCCTTGGGTGAAACCCTGCCCATTTGAAAATGAAGGTCAAAAATAAAAATAAATAAATAAAAATAAATGATTAGGCAGCTTACTCTCCGATGAGGTGTGCTTTAGTTTTGATGATACAATCTTAATTCATTTTAGCTGCTTAAAGTAACGTTTTAACATCCGCTATAAAATAAAATAATACTTGTGAGCTGTGAGTGCTCCTTTTTGCGTAAACTGATGATCCAGCTAATAATAATCAATTAAAATTTACTTAATGTTTGATTAATCAAACAATCGATTAATCAAATAACCGATTAATCAAATAATCGATTAATCAAATAATCGATTAATCAAATAATCGATTAATTTAATAGAATAATCAAACCCGATTATCGATTATCGTTTGATTATAATCGATTAATCGATTTTTTTGCCCAACGCTACCAAACAATCGTCATATCATAACTCATCAAGCATTCTTGAACACAATGCAATTACTTATCACTACAGTCCAATTTTTTTAGAGAGAAATAATTTCAAATAAATCAGTCATTTGGGCGGCCCATCAGTCTACATTTATACCGGCCCATAGGGCAATCGCCCGACTGGCCAGTCCGTCCCTGACTGCATCCCTACGTCCGTCCGTCCGAGGCTTTAACTACTACAGTTTTCAAGATAATTCGTTCGTTCGTTTTGCATTAGGTAGCTTATAGCTCTGGCACTTCAATCAAGAAAAATTTTGATGATTAAAGTGCGCATGCGCAAACTGTGCAATGTCAACTTTCATATTTGTAGATATATTTTTTTAAATTTTAACCAAAGATTCTTCTAGTAAAGGCAAACATATCGCATATTTTAAACTTCATGACTGCGCAATAACCATTTTCTCTGGAGAAGTACTGATCAATTCATGGAAAATGCGTTATAGTTACTCGCCTTAAGGTGAAAACCATTTTCAATTTTTTAAAGAATACCTGAGGTTTTTTGCAATACAGCATCTTTCGCTCATTACCTTATTTACTTATGTTACGCTTTGTTTTTGCTTTGCACAATTCATTTCTTCCGTAACATCCAATATGAAGTCCACAGGAAATAAGGAATTAGTAGCCTGTAGCAGACATCTAGTGTGTTATGGAAATTCGGATAACAAATTAAGATTCTCCAAAAAAGTGCCCATAAAAGGTGTTAACGGGGAACCGTTCATTTCCGACCGCTGAAAATAGGGAAAATGAAAACGAAATTGGACATTTCAAAATACGGGGTGGAGGGGGAGTGGAACTAGTTTTATCCTTCATGGTACTCTAATGAAAGATCTCAACGAAAGGAATTAAGTTCTACCAACCATATCCCTCCTCCTCAACCTCTTATCGTGATCGGGTATATTCCCTTATACCTCAAGAACGGATTGTCGGAAGAGGGTACTCACAAAGGGCGACTGAGACGTCTGCAAGAAATATATCCATGGGCGATGTCAAAACAAAAGCTATTTCGGCTAAAAAAAATGCACAAGAGTTGTGCACAATTTATACTTGTTTGTTTTAGTGTTAATTGAAATTAAAGGGTCCTCTCGATTGGTTTGCATTGGGGCCTCCGACTTCCACGTGACGCTACTGGTCTGTTGCTTATGATTCGCATGAATGTGAAGGCGTGCTATCAAAAAAGATTTTCTGGAAAAGTAATTTCCTTCAAGCTTTTTTCTAAATGAAATACTGATCAGTAACAGCGATTGTCGTCGGTTTCGGACACTTTGTACTTGTAAGCGAGCACTATTCTCGATATCGGTACTATAACATATTTGGAAAACATTTGTCGATGAATTAGATAAGTAGATATCTACTATTAAATGTATCGTTCTCAATGCCACGCTTAATGTACGTTAATGTGAAACCGCTAAATCCCCAAACGTAGTCAAAATCGATTGGGTTATTATTTCTTTTTGTAAAAAAGCTATTAGCACAGGCCGCTTTCAGTAAACAGTGAAAATCTTGAACGCCATTATAAGAACCATGCTCACAATGACAAAGGGATAATAATTTCGCTCTATCTCTTAAATTAAATCGTTTATTTGAGGTATACCAATCCGATTCCCAATGGATTTAACTTTAAGGCGAAAATTGTGAAAAGTGCTATGATAGATTTCCCCATAAAAAGGAATACGAAAACATAAAAGTGTAACCGATTTATAGCGTGTAGTAGATCACAACTTTGCATTGGCTTTAAATCTAATGGTATATGCGCGTTGCAAGCTTTTAAAAAATTGTTGATGCCCTCATTGTGGCGTACATCTACGTACTACGCTTAGATTACATCCATCCACCTGCCAATCCAATCTTCACTTACGTAGTCGCGACGACGGCGTTATTCCGTCATCGAAATGTGTTTAGTTGCGTCGCAGCAGTCCGATTAAACACCGGCCAAAATTTCATATTCAACGAAGACATCTTTTAACATTTAAATCTAACCGATAGTGTTTTCGCGAGAAGAGAAAACCGAAGAAAATTTGGGGAAGATGTCGCGGACCTGTTGCTGCTAACGTTTAAAAGTTGTGGTGCCTGTGAACTTTTCTAACGTTCCAAATTTGTGAGTTACCGCTGAATTTTGTTGTAGTCTCTAATATACCTATTCTCAATTAGTTTTTTTGCGCCAACTACACGTGTCGTGCCATTCACAATAATAGTAGAGTAAATGAAAACTGACATTTTGTAATTGATCTCGCCGATTTCCAAGCCCATTTAATTAATTAAAATGCGTTATATTTAGAAAATGATTAGTTAGATTGGGTTCGCTAATTCAAACAATAACGTCGCGCTGAAAATGAAAGTTAAATTCGCTTTTAACTCAAAAACCGTCACTGCACTTTAGACGCTCAGAGCGTCGATGTAAAAATTTTGATCTTTTCCGTATTTTGTAATGAATTTGTTTGTCTTCCTACCTAAACAATGTTTTCGCTTGTAGTACTATGTTGGCAAAGTGGGTTATCTGAATAATAAAAAATTATTTCACATTGTTGGTGCCAAATACTATTTAAATAGTGAGATAAATGACTTCGTCAAAGTAACAAGGTGTGTGTTTTCATTATTCGATAATATTTTTATTTTTGTATTTTTATAAATAGCGCTATTCGTTTTCAATGTAACACATTTATCTTTACGAATAAGTTGTTCAAAAAGCAATTACAACGCACATTTATTATCATCGGGCATTTTCTTTCCTTATGATGAAATAAAAATAAAGCCTTTAAAGGCATAAAAGAGATAATTTGACCAAAACCGAACAGTTTTCTTTTTAGGATTAAATTGATGGTCACTCTCGGTATACCTTTTACTATGTGAGGCAGCAAGCGAGCCAACTTAAAAGATAAAGTCCGTCGTGTCTTTTGTGTCTTTGTTAGTTTATTGCATAGATTCATTAGATATTGTTTTGTCATAATGAAACAACTTTTTGTGAATAGGTTTATTATTGACTTTCATCTTCTGCGATACACGAGCTTCAGTCCATGCCTGTATATTATATTGTAAAGATCGGGTGGAATTCGAACTTATGTCAGCCGTCTTAATGTACTTTCGACTTGACGTTTGTTCGATTGCCTCCACGCAATTGCACATGCAAATAGTATTGAACCTCTTATTTAACAGATTCGACCCAATAATGCACACGCTTACATAATTTTTAAATCGAACACATTATCGAAAATGTCGTCCGGCGAAAGTGAAAATTTGCCCCTAACAACCATACACAAAGAAGAAAAAGAGAATACCGAAAACGAAGAGGTAGAAGACGTCCACGATTTGTTGCAACACACCTCATCCGAAAACCACAACGGCAGTCCCACAGACGAAAAAATTATTACAATACAAACTCGTGTTCCTAAAAATCGACGGAAAGTGTCAAAAAGCATAACGGACATCTTTTTTAGAAACAATAAACGCGCCAAACGGCAAAAAAGTTACAACGTTCAGGAAAACGGTAACGAACTAACCGTCGATAAAAACTTAAAGTCCGAACAGTGCGACGAAAGTAGTGCAAAATCTCTCGACGACGTCGATGGGAATAGCCAAGCCTGCACGAAAGGCAACAATCAGCATTCCACCTCGACGTCAACTTTCGACGACGGCTACGAATCCTACAACAGCACTCCACTTGGTTCAGGTAAGATATTTGATTACATTTTTTGTATCGCGCGATAAAGATATGAAAATCGAAATTGAATTTCGAAGTTGACGTATCTGCCCCACGGCAAACCCAAACGGAGGTATAAACGCGTTCAAATAATGTCAGAAATTCCTCAAGATGAAGTTAAATGAGTGTGGGTTACGTCATCGCAATTAATTCCACCAAAAAACATATCAATTAAATGTCTAGTTTAGAAATTTGTCTTACTACGTTTACTATTTTATATAGGCCGGCCCATTCTAAATTCGTTATTGTGTAATTAACCAATTGATGGGAATATAAAAATGAGGATAAGTATGGATCAATTAGTCCAAGTTGGAAGGGTTTTCAGTTCAGTAAATGCTAGATTTATGTGCGAATTTCGTCATTGTTACCAATAAACTAGCTATTCAAATACAAAAAATAAAATGATTTATATTTTTGTCAGCAGAATGTAATAAAAGTAGGTATTATGTGCAGAAAGGACTATTTGACCCTTGAGCATACATACTAAGGAAGCTACGTAAATGCAGTCTTTACTTTGCGTTACCCGGGTATTAAAAACTGCAGAACTTTCCAATAACGTAAAAATTGTAACGGAAGGTATTGCATTGCTAAAAAGGAGGTGATTATTTCGATGTATATTGCCCTTCTTCAAGGTGTATTTCAAACCTCTACTCCGAACGGCTTTCCCATATTCCTTGGTAATAAAAATATAAGTTCAAAACTATCTAATAATGTCAGGTACAAATATAAAGAAGAGATGAGGGTAGAGGCAGGCGACGAGGTAAGAGGGTGATTCAAATATTTTACTGTGTTTATGTGTTAAAACGAAAGCGTACATACTAAAGCATTGAAATAAAAGAATAAGGAAGAAGGGTTAGGGTTACAAACATATAACACTATGTACACTTGCTGGGATCCAATTAGGCTTTGCAATATGGCCGACTTTGACAATTAATTGGCATTTACGGTACAGTGAAACAATGGTTAGCTGTAAATCGTGTAATATAACAAAGTCAAAAGCTCAGAAGACACGAAAATTACATTAAATACGTGGTAACCATGTTATATTTCTTATATCTAATGGTCTTCTTTCACGATAATTAATTTAATGCATTTTGCAGGTTGTGATACAGATTCATTGTCGTAGCGATAGTATGTAAAACAACATTTTAAAATACATCTACTTTTCAGATTTCCTTTAGACAGTGAATGGCGAGATACATGGATTTCGTTTATAGGAAGTTATAAATCTGTCTGTAGTGATATGTATGCAATTTCAGTACTACCCACCAAAAAATTATAGTATATTACGCACCGAGTGCGAAAGTAGGTTATTTTTCGAAGAATTTTAATCATTTGATTATATTCTAAGAAAAATAACCTTTCGTCGAGGTTCGTTTACGATTTTATTCACGATCATCATTATAATCATTCCATTATCAAAAATAAAATAATTCACTAAATTTATACGAATTATATTCATCTTATGCGCCATCTGCAATATTATTGCCCCACATAAAATGTTGTCGGTAATACAGATTTGGAAATTTACCTAATTAATATTGTAACGGAAATGCTTCAGACATGACGTCGCCTTTGGCGCTCTGGAATTTTCTACGCGCGCGATAGTGGGGTTTTGTAGAAATATTCGAGAATGTACTGGACTTACATTGCTTGCGTGTATAAATGGTTGCGGACCGAACATCGCGGCAGTCTACTATCGAACGAGATCGAGTACGGACGAAACATTGAGCGCGAAAATCTGATATAAATTTCGAAGTGTGTGATATAAATAATCGATATAAATTGTACGGTTTTTATAGTGTTTTAGTTTTGTTTAATAAATATTGATATAAATCGAACCCGAATTTATAAATCACGTTACATTGGTGTCAGAAGTGGGATTAATTAAATTAATTAAAAGTAAGATTAAATTAAGTGCTTGTGCTTGTGTATGCCTGTAACAAGATCTGCTGCCGCTAAAATGGAAGAAACGATGCTCAATTTGCTCCAGCAAATCCAAAATGGCCAACAGGTGTTGCAACAAGAAATGAAAAGCACCCAAGAGAAGTTCGAGAAGTTGGAAGAAAATTCTAGAAAGATTAATGAAGAAAATTCTAGAAATATTCAAGAGAAGTTGGAAGAAAATTCTAGAAATTTTGAAGAGAAGTTCGAGAAAATGGAAGAAAATTCGAAGATTAATGAAGAAAATTCTAGAAATATTCAAGAGAAGTTCGAGAAGTTGGAAGAAAATTCTAGAAATATTCAAGAGAAGTTCGAGAAGTTGGAAGAAAATTCTGGAAGAAAATTCTAGAAATATTCAAGAGAAGTTCGAGAAGTTGGAAGAAAATTCTAGAAAGATTAATGAAGAAAATTATAGAAATATTCAAGAGAAGTTCGAGAAGTTGGAAGAAAATTCTAGAAATTTTGAAGAGAAGTTCGAGAAAATGGAAGAAAATTCTAGAAATATTCAAGAGAAATTCGAGAAGATGGAGGAAATTCTAGAAAGATTATCGAAGAAGTCTCTACATCAATTGAAGAAAAAGTTGAAGATAGAATTACGGAAGTTTCCAAAACATTTAAAGCAACATTCGTTGAGATTGAGCACAAGTATGAAGAGCTGCGCGAGCAATTCTTGCGACTGACTACGAAAGAGCGTACTAGTAGTGCCCCAGAAACAAATACAAGAGTAGAAGGCGACGTTCAGCAAGCCCGAGTAAAGCCACCTACTTTTGATGGTAAGATTCCTTGGACCACGTACGTTCGACAGTTTGAAGCAGGGGCTGCGGCAAATAAATGGACTCTTCAAGACAAAACTACAGCCCTGATTCTTGCTCTGAGAGGAGATGCTCTGGATGTGTTGCGGACCATCCCCGAGGATCAACAAAACTTCCAACAAATAGTAGCGCGACTCGAAATGCGATATGGCGATAAACACCTTCAGCAAGTTTACTATGCCCAAGTCAAGAACCGAATGCAGAAATCTGGAGAAAGTTTGCAGGAACTTGAAGCGGACATCGCTAGACTGATTCGATTGGCATACCCTACGGCACCGGAGAGCTTTCTTGATCAACTGGCTGTACAAACATTTATCGATGCCGTTCGTGATGGAAGTCATGGAAGTGCGCGAGTACGTATGGTGGAACCTCGCAGTGACAGCCGGGTAAGAACCATCGAAGAGGAAGGTGGTTCTGAAAGTGTTGAAGAAAAGGTCAGTAAAGTAGTGGAAGAAAAGGTCAATAAAGCAATACAGTCACTGGCAAAGAAACGTGAACCACGATGTTGGAATTGCGGCGAGAATAAAAACGCACGGAGAAATACAAATGTCTGTCAAAATCGGAAAGACCACCATCAATCACCAGGTGCTAATTGCTGATATTTCTGATCAATTCATCTTGGGGATGGATCTTCTTAAGAAACTCGGAGCTGTGTTAGACGTGAAAAAGGGTGTGTTAAAGGTCGGCGATGAAGAACTCCCTTTCCATGAAGACAAAGAAGATGTCATCCGCCTGTTAACCACTCATGACGTCATTATACCCGGACATAGTGAAAAAATTATAATGACCACTTTAGATGGATATTGTCGCCAGGGAAGCCTACGGATAGTCGAAGCACTAAACCAAAAGGAATTTCTAGTGGCTAGGGCTCTGGTAAAAGTTCAAAATGGCGTTCCGATTCGAATTATGAATTTGAAAGATAGTCCTGTTAAGCTAAGCAAACGAACTGCAGTTGGACAGTGTGTGCCCATCTCGGCTATTCGCTCTGTGAAATCGGAAAATCTATCTAAAGGAAAGTATCCAAGAGAGCTGATAGATATGGTAATTAAAAACACTCCAGATTTGGACAATAGACAACGACAAAAGGTGAAAAATATGCTTGTGGAATTCCGAGATGTGTTCGCGGTAAACGACCAGGACAAGGGCAAGACAAGCATAGTCACCCATAAAATAAATACTGGCAATTCCCAACCGATTAGACAACAGCCAAGGCGACTCCCCTTAGCTAAACGAGACGAAGCTGAGGAAATTATCAGAGACATGAGAAAACAAGGTGTCATCGAGCCATCGAATAGTCCTTGGTCATCACCGATAGTGCTTGTAAAGAAGAAGGATGGCTCCACAAGATTTTGCGTTGACTACCGTCTATTAAATTCGGTCACCAAGAAAGATAGCTATCCACTGCTAAGAATAGACGACACCTTGGACACTCTATCTGGAGCCCAATGGTTTTCCACACTCGACCTAAAGAGTGGTTATTGGCAAGTGGGGATGGGATCGACAGACCGAGAGAAGACCGCGTTTTCTATAGGCTCTGGACTTTGGCAATTCACAGTAATGCCTTTCGGATTGTGTAATGCCCCCGCGACCTTTGAGAGACTTATGGAAGCAGTTCTAAGGGGACTAACGTGGCAGACATGTCTGGTATATTTGGATGATGTAATTGTCGTAGGAAAAACTTTTGAAGAACACCTAAAGAACCTGAGAGAGGTGTTTGGACGATTACGAGAGGCCAATTTAAAACTAAGTCCCAAGAAATGCTTTATGTTCCAAAAAGAAGTTAAATATTTGGGGCACATCGTATCTCGTGATGGTGTTACAGCTGACCCAGAGAAGATTATAGCGATTCAAGAGTGGCCGATTCCTGAGAACAAGCACGAGATTCGAAGTTTCCTCGGTTTGTGCACCTATTATAGACGATTCGTGAAAGGATTTGCCAATATTGCCAAACCATTAATAAAGTTGACAGAAGAAGGCAATGAGTACGAATGGAGTGAAGACTGTCAAAGAGCTTTCGAACATCTCCGGCAAGCTCTTACTAGCGCACCTATCCTTGGCTACCTCAGAAATGAAGGAAAGTTTGTGCTAGATACCGATGCCAGTAACACCGCCATTGGAGCTGTTCTCTCTCAATTGCAAGACGGACAGGAAAGAGTCATTGCCTATTTCAGCAAAGTACTGTCGAAACCCGAGAGGAATTATTGTGTGACTAGGCGAGAGCTCCTGGGTGTGGTAAAGGCATGGGAACATTTCCATAAGTACCTTTACGGCCGCAAGTTCCTGATAAGGACAGATCATGCAGCGCTAAAGTGGCTCTTGCAGTTCCGAAACCCAGAAGGACAGGTGGCAAGATGGTTAGAACGTCTTCAGGAATATGACTACGACATTGAACACAGGGCTGGAAAAGTTCACAATAATGCAGACGCTTTGTCAAGAAGACCGTGCAAGGACAACTGCACACATTGTTCTAAAATAGAAGACAAGATTGGCCATCTGCGACGAACAACTGTAGAGAGTGAGGAATGGAAGCCAAGCGAAATCAAAACGGCCCAAGTTTAAAAACTGTTCTGAATTGGATGCGCCACAGACAAAGACCAGACTGGCAAGACATTAGTGCCACAAGTCCTGAAGTAAAGAGTTATTGGGGCCAATGGAATAGCCTGACTCTGAAAGACAACCTGTTGTATAGGACCCTTGAAAGTGAAGATGGCACCGAATCGACGCTGCAATTAGTAGTACCTAGAAGCAAAGTGTCGGAAGTATTGCGAAAATTGCATGACGGCGCTTCCGGAGGACACTTTGGTATTACGAAAACGTTGCAAAGGGTACGTGAGCGATTCTATTGGGTCAACCGTAAAGAAGATGTCCGGCGATGGTGTCAAAAATGCGAGTTATGTGCTACTGGAAACGGACCAGTTTCCAAGAAGAAGGCACCCATGAGGCAGTATAACGTTGGTAGTCCGATGGAACGAGTTGCTATCGATATCGCAGGACCGTTTCCCGAGACAGATGGCGGAAATAAATATATCCTAGTCGCTATGGATTATTTCACAAAGTGGACTGAAGCTTACGCCATTCCAAACCAAGAGGCAGCAATAGTTGCAGAAGTGTTGGTAAAGGAGTTCTTTACACGTTTTGGTGTTCCTATAGAAATCCATTCAGACCAAGGAAGGAACTTTGAATCGGCTTTGTTTCAAGATGTTTGTCGATTGGTAGGAGCCAATAAAACCAGAACAACACCTTTGCATCCTCAGTCAGATGGAATGGTGGAGAGAATGAATCGAACGATGGGTAAATATCTTTCAAAAGTCGTGGCAGAACATCAGAAAAATTGGGACCAGTACCTCCACCTGTTCCTTATGGCATATCGATCAGCCGTCAACGAGACCACGGGTCAGACTCCTGCCTGCCTTATGTTGGGTCGTGAACTACGCCTTCCATGTGACCTCGAGTTTGGGCGTAAACCCCATGAAGAATATGTCGCAGGTGAAAATTATGTTGACCAACTAAAGGCGAAGATGAACGACATTCACGACTTGGCTAGAAGTCATATTCAGATTGCCAGCGATCGCATGAAAAATCAATACAACCTCCGCTCGGCCAATGAAACTTTTGAAGCTGGAGATCTGGTATGGCTGCACAATCCACAGAGACGAAGAGGTCTTTCTCCCAAGCTACAAAGACAATGGGAAGGTCCGTATGAGGTGATCAAGAAAATAAATGACGTGATATATCGTATCAGAATGAACCACCGGAAACCGAAAGTTGTCCACATTAATCGACTCGCACGATATGCCGGATCCAACAACAACGAAGAAGTTAGAGGTATTCGAGAAGAGGAACGCAGCTTTGGGATCGAGCCAAACTTTAACGATTTTATGTCAAATTACGCCCAGCGGAAGAAAGCTCGATTTGGCGTTACTCAGGAAATTTGTCAAAATATTTTTGAGCTTCCGGTTAACGTTTCCATCGCCCATTGTGTCGCCGAAGACCTTCGCATGGGTAGAGGTATAGCTTCCGTATTCCGGAAAAGATTTGGAAGAATAGACGAGTTGTTAAAGCAAAGACCACGAGTGGGTAAAGTACTGCGCTTGGAAGATAATCAACGCTCTTTGTTCTACTTGGTTTCAAAGAAAACGTCAGAAGGCAAACCCACCTATGAAAACCTCTGGTCTGCTTTAAAAAGCTTAAAGAAACTCATGGCATACTATGACATAAATAGCTTGGCGATCCCGAAGATTGGATGTGGTTTAGATGGGTTGGACTGGAAAATAGTGCGAACCATGATCGAAGTGATTTTTAGAAACACTAGCGTTCGAATTACAGTATGCTGCTTCAACCCACAGGGGACGACCCTCCGCAAAACTGTGGACTGTTACTTTTTCAAGAAAGGTGTTTGTCGAGCAGGCTCTGACTGCAGATTCCGACACGAGGCATTAAAAAGTAATACTAACGCAGTTTCTGAACGAGACGTCCAGAATTAAGAAGGGGGCAGTGTAACGGAAATGCTCCAGACATGACGTCGCCTTTGGCGCTCTGGAATTTTCTACGCGCGCGATAGTGGGATTTGTGTAGGAATATTCGAGAATGTACGCGATGTTCTGGACTTACATTGCTTGCGTGTATAAATGGTTGCGGACCGAACATCGCGGCAGTTTTACTATCGAACGAGATCGAGTAAGTATGAAACATTGACGCGCGGAAATATAAATTGCGAAGTGTGTGATATAAATAATCGATATAAATTGTACGGTTTTTATAGTGTTTTAGTTTTGTTTAATAAATATTGATATAAATCGAACCCGAATTTATAAATCACGTTACAATATTCATATTAATTTAACATGCATGTTAAAAAATGGCCCATACTAAAGAATTTCAATGTACATCCCCTCAAATAAGGGAAATTGAGTGTAGTAAAAAATTTACTCCCCGAATGAATTTTTAAAGTGAATGAACAATGGTGGGCAGGAAAGGGTATAGATAAAACTTCATGTTTTACTTGCTTATTTTAATGAGGTAAAGGTAAAGAAATCATCCACATTATGAACATTTTGATTAATAAAAAATGAACAGAAACTCTTATAATAAAACTAAACAAAAACTACAATTCTTTTTTAATTTTGCTTGGACATTTTGTCCACTAGGGATCTTAAGAGATCTAGTGCTTCTTGTTTTTGGGACATTCGTTGTTCATGTTGCGTTTGACGATCTTGTCTAAGTTTTTCTAATACATCTGCAACTCGGTTGGCACTGCCGGCTAAAAAATGATGTTAAAAGAATAATAATTTGTTATGAAGGCATCACACTTCTCTGTAGTTTTTTCTTTTGATTTATTCGTGTGCCTTTCACTGCATTGCGAGACGTTACAGGTTCTCCGGACATAGATGTTGAACGTACGACAGGAGGTAGCGGATCGTTACACTGCAATTCCGGGTCTGTAGAAATTTGTGGTTCTATGGCTATAGGACCTTCACTTTTGGGATCGGAGGCTGAAGAACTTGAAGCCGTAGACAAAGGCTCTACCCATGGCTTACTTCCAAACAAATCATCCATTATCTAAACCAGTAATTACGTTAAATTCATTACAGATTTTAATTCAATTACCTCTAAATAGGGCCAATCTGTCCTGTTACTCCCGGAGCGTTTATTATGATCTTTGATTTTTTTATATTGGCGCTTTAATGTGGCCAGGTTGGTGCGATATTGCGTTCCAATAACTGCAAATCCCTCTTTGGCCATTAAAGCAGCAATCTTTCCCCAAAAAGCATTTTGCTTCATTTTACCTTTTAGAAGATATTGCTGGTTTTCGCTATAATTGTGTAGTAGTAGTACAATACCTTCATGCGTCCAACGATGTGTGTTATCTAAAATTAATTATGTTCCTTATAAATACTTCACAAATGTTTGTATAATTGGTAATGGTAATCCATCCTGAGACTCTGCACCCTCTGCACTTTGTGGCGAGCATTCCTCAACCTCAAAAGTGCTCTCCGACACTTCCTCCGAGTTTTCTTCTATTTCTTGAGTGGCTTGTGTAGTCCTGCCATTTTGTAGCAATGTTGTTGCAAAGGTAATATCTGTAACACAATAGTGACTGGACTACCAGACAAGTAACCTTTAATAAACTTACCATTTATAGCTCTTTCGTAATCTTCGGGAATTAGTGTTATTTTCTGCTGTGCATTATTTTCGAGAACCAACTCCATTTTCTATGACCACATGTTTACTACAACCTTTACTCAGTTTACTCAGCTTTTACCACCCAATTGGTAGAAGCAACATGAGTATTTTGCAGTAAATCTCACGCATGCGTATTGATTGTTGCATTTGCAGTAAATGTCAGCAATTTTATAACCGCCACAAAATTACTTTCAGTAAAAACAGTAACTGGAGTAAATTTTGAACTGTACCGTTAATAGGTACCAAACGTATTTTATAGCGTCGCGTCGCAAATATTCTTCAGTATCTACTTTGCAACTACTACTTACAATTCTTAAATTCAAAAAGACCCACGTCCCACAATTCATGTTGTGGGCAGCAAATACGTTTCACAGTACTATGCCAATAACTGCTCACAACAAGACCGTAAAGAATGTAACGGGAATTCTTCTTCTTCATCCTTCGTTATGAGTACGTTTGGACATATTTTGCGTATTTTTATTTCCGGGCTAGATCAGATTATAAGGGTTAAGCATAGGAAAGAATCCAATTAATTTTCCTTTCACTGCAGTCACATTAATAGTTTTACACGAAACATATTTATTATAGTTAACTGGCCTCACTGGGCAGATAATTAATTTTATCCTAGTGAATAATGTACAATTGCAATTATCACCTATACAACGTGCGTCCTTTAACTTAATACAATCTCATGATAAAACTAACGTTAAAATACAAACAAACGCTATCGGTTCTGGTACAATAAGGAATCTCGAATGTTCTATAAATATATTTCAGAACTATACGGAGAAGGCTAACAAGAGCTGGGTTAACTGCAGGAACAAAAATGATTCAGACCGGTAGGGTAACAAAATTTGAAACTGACGTCGTTGAAAAAAGGAAAAATGTACGAAATCGGGAAGATAATGTGCTAATGAATCGACGTAGCCAGAAATCGTACTAACTTTTACTTAACACAACTTTAACGTAGATACAGATAAAGTAACATGACTTGAGGTGCCAGGCGGTTGATTTTGGCATACTCGGATAGGCCAAAGTGGAACTCCATCGGTTAAAATTTTGAACACTCGTTCAGTAGATTTAGGACTAGCTCCCCTACTATAACCCTATATTTTGGGCCCATTAAATACGTCTTTCCCTTTTAGAAATTGCAAAAGGGATTGAAGCGTAAGATGTTGTTCTAAAATTCAAATGTAAACTGCTTATAATGTATCTACCCAAATATAAATTTAATATAATATAATCTTAGCACAGTTGACATAAATGCCTATCTACATTTAACGGGTGTTTGAACTTACTGTGTTGGATGTGTGTTGGATCGCTGTTTGTGTGAAAGTATCAACATCGCTAACGGGTTTCTTATATTGGCTTTTTTAGGTTGGCCCGATTTAGAAATTTGTAAAATACAAGTCACTGTTCGCAGGCTAATATTTAATGCATCCGTAACTCTGTGTGAAATGAAACCACTCACCTCTTTTACTACCGCGACTGGTAAAAGTCGGCCACCATTGTCTCTTCGTTCAAAAGAACATTAGAAATAAGTTGATTACTTTTTCTTGGTAAACCTGATGGCACTTTTGGGTTATACATCTTTTGGCGTAGAATATTGCAGTGAAACTTACGAAGGTTATGCTTCTATAATTGTTCGTTATGAAATAATGGATTTTTATGGGCTAATGTAGCAAAACGCCATAAAATAATACAAACAGTTGTTAAATTTAACGTATCGCAATGTATACGTAAACTTCCACAATTTTGATTGACAGGTAACCTGAAAACAACAAAATATTTATTTACATAAAATTCAGGAAAATCACACATTAATGGTGAGGAAATATGGGGCCGAGTACTTTAATTTCCGAGTCAAGTAATGTCATTTTACTGACGAGTTTTTGTATTAAATTTTACCCGAAATCGGATTTTAACATAAAATTTCAATACAGGTGTGGTCGGTAAAGTGACAGGCGGCAAAGAAAAGTAACCTGGTCTGGCCCTGTCATGGAAACTAAAAGTTCCTAACATAAAGTAGGCATGAAAATGAAGGTTTCATGACCATTTTGGATAAAAACCCTCTCACTAAAGGATTTTGGTTTTATTATTTAAATAACGCACGACTCTCTCTAAGTGGGAAGCAAAACTCACGTGTGCTTTTTGTTTTCTAATGGTGAAATCAAAAAGTATATACGTATTTGTTGACCAGTGAACAATATACGTCATTTTCACGCGAACTTTGATAAACGTNTGTATTTTGCTTTGTTAAAAAGCTTCCTTGTCTGTGCCCGCAATCGAGAGAGTCCCTCATGCCACCAGGGCACTTTGTTTGAGGTTCTCCTTTCTTTTGTGGGACAGCTTGCCTCATAGGCACCTTTGATGGCCATGCGAAGGTTTGATTCCATGACCTCCAATTCCGCCGAGTTACTGACTCCTGCAGGACAGTTCTCGAGATTGACCTTTAGGTTCTCTCTATAGAGGTCCCAGTCGGTTCTTCTCGGATTTCTATATACGGATACAGCCGTTTCGTTAGATTCAATGTCAAAACGAATATATCTATGGTCGGAGAGCGATGGCTCTTCCGACACATGCCATTTGTGTACTGAGCTGCAAGCAGCAACAGTTCCAAATGTTATGTCAATTACCTGCCTCCGCCGACTGTTGACGAAGGTTGGCTCATTGCCTACATTAGCTACCTCTAAATTATTATTAATAATATAATCTAGGAGAGACTCACCTCTTCTGTTGACGTCAGTACTGCCCCACACAGTGTGGTGCGCATTGGCATCACATCCGAGAAGTAGCTGCCTGCCTTTACGCTGGCAGTGTTCCACCAGTTTGCAGACTTCTATTGTTGGTGGTGGACTAGGTTGATCGTAAGGGAGGTATGCGGATCCGAGCACAAGCCCCCTCTCGCTCCCATCCCTTTCCACTGCCAGCATTACTGCCACCAGGTCTCTGCAACAGAATTCCCAGAGTGGTAGTAATTTAACGCTATCCCTAGCTAAGATGCACGATCTGGGATTGATTTCGTTTGGCTCAGTAATGAGCCGCGCTCCTTTCAGTCCCAGACCTCGTATTTGCCCTTTGTAGGTCCAAGGTTCTTGTACTAGGGCTACATCAATTTGATGTTTATTCATGTATGCACAGAGGGTGGCAGATGCCGCCCTGCTGTGATGCAGATTAATTTGTGCTAGTCTTACCATAAAGAGAAGAGTAAGACCGAACCTACCTAATGAAGTGCGGTGGTTGGCGCAGTTGGTTGAGGTTCTTCTGAGAGCCCCTCACCTGCTGCTGCCTCTTCGCACTCCATTCGTGTCACCTCCTCTTCTTCCACCTTCGTCTTGGAGAGGAGTTTGAACGTCACCCTAGTGAAGTTCACATAGGGCCGATGGTTGCACGTGGCCCCCATCTTCTCCCAGGAAGTTTGGTCCATAAGGACAATCAAAGTTTGTCCCTTGGGATCCTCCTTCCTGTCAACCACGCGCCAATTGCTGGTTGTCACACCAGCATTCTGGATCTCGATCCTTTTCAGGATCTTCTCCGGTTCAACTTGAGCCCCGGGGATCCAGACGTGAGCCCTAATCGGTTTTGGGAGGTTCTTGGCTTCGACGAATCGAAGTTTCGCACCCTCCCACGGAGCTACACTCCCTAGCTCCGACCTCAGCCAGTCCACCGATGCCTGGTCTGCGCACGTTATCAACAGCGCTCCCCCTCGGTGGCGACACTCTGTGAATTTGGGCGAAACCGCCCCAACGGCCAAAGCGTCAACTCGGTCAAGGATCCAGGTCTGTAGTCGCCCTGTCTCCTCCTCCGACAGCGTTCCTTCCAGGTCTTCATGGACGAAAGCCATTCTGAAGCCTGTTGCTGCTTCACTAAAAGTTCTGGTGTCCTTTACGGTCCCAGTTTTAACTTTTTTGGAGGCACCTCCTTTTGGAGTGCTGCCCTCAGACCGGTGTCGCTTTTGCGTCCCAGTCTTTGGCTCAGCTTTAGTTGATGGGTTGCCTGGTTGCTTGGAGCCCCCAGGTCGTCCCACTTCAGATGGGAGGTCAGGTGGCTTGGAGCCCCCTGGTTCCTGCCTCATCTTCTTTAGCTTCCGGCGCGCTGCCCCGGAGAGTTTTTTAGGCTCTCCAGTACCAGGTGCTCCGGGAGTAGGAATTTTGTTTTGTTTTTCTTGGTCCATATAAGTCCCACGAGTCTGGGGGAAAAGAACGTCCACACGCGCGGTGCCCCCTGCACACGTGCAAGGCGACTTAATACAACGGAGTGGCGCCCGGTGCTCCGAGGTTGGGGCCGGTAGTTGCTGATCCTCTATTCAGCCACGCATCCTTTCGGTCCGGCCCTCTGACCCTTAGGATTTAGGTTGTTTGATGAGGTTGTCTCCTCTTGGTCCGGGCGGTAAAGCCAAGACCCCCCACACCATCCTGAGCTCCCCAGGATCATGCATGGTATATCAACATGGTTCTGCGCATCGAACACATGTCGGCACCGTTAAACCCCGTGCAAGCCCTTGGCCACGACACGACAGCCGGGCGGGGTAGCTGGTCCGCGATGCTGTCTTTGGTTGCTTCCAGTCGCTGTTTCATAAGCGACGAGCATCCTTATCCCTAGCATTAGCCTATGCGTCACTTACGCTCATTCGCTTAGGCCGTTCCCCTATCCGCCACCTGGGGACGCGCCTGGTAGGGAGCCACCCCTCAGGTAAAAAAATCACACATTAATGGTGAGGAAATATGGGGCCGAGTACTTTAATTTCCGAGTCAAGTAATGCCATTTTACTGACGACTTTGTATTAAATTTTACCCGAAATCGGATTTTAACATAAAATTTCAATACAGGTGTGGTCGGTAAAGTGACAGGCGGCAAAGAAAAGTAACCTGGTCTGGCCCTGTCATGGAAACTAAAAGTTCCTAACATAAAGTAGGCATGAAAATGAAGGTTTCATGACCATTTTGGATAAAAACCCTCTCACTAAAGGATTTTGGTTTTATTATTTAAATAACGCACGACTCTCTCTAAGTGGGAAGCAAAACTCACGTGTGCTTTTTGTTTTCTAATGGTGAAATCAAAAAGTATATACGTATTTGTTGACCAGTGAACAATATACGTCATTTTCACGCGAACTTTGATAAACGTATTATTTTCGGATAAAAAGAATTTTCATTACTACCAAATGACTACCAAATTGGATACGACACGTAGCCCTCAATATTCTATTTGTGCACCAGTATCCTTACGAGTTATGCAATATCATCCTGACTACGATTCGATGTATACTGCCTTAAGGAGACTTCCCTCGCTAATGGTTTAAACACTGTTTGACGGTTATTGATATGCATATACCTTAAGTCTCTGTAACATTAGCCATCGTATTCTTTCCCTTCCGTTCTGATAGACTTGTCATGTAATGGCAAGAACACTGAGATTTCTGCAAATGTGTTTCTGCATCCTTCCAATTGAACGAAAGGGTTGCTTCTGGACGTAGCGTGCTTGGTCGGAAACCTGCTCACGTTGGATTTCTAAATTGCCTTCTGTTTCTGAAACTTTCTCTATTATTACCATCTTCCTATTCTTCACTTCATCACCAACCTGTTTTACTTTGAAATCACCTAAATTATAGTTCCAACTATGGTTTCTAGCTATTTTTTGCTTAGTGGTTTAAAATGACGTGTATTAGTAAAGGTCACTCAAAACTCAAACAAACCTTCATGGCGATACGGAAGAACTGATTTTGGATTATTTGAAATTGTAAATATCAAGTGTAGCCTTTATTTACGTAACTGAGATACAAATTGGTATAGCATAACTAAAAATAAACTAAACCTGTAGGGGAAGCAGTATATGAAGCAAGATCTCATAAGTTACGGCTAAACAGTCTTCTGTAGAATGATGTATCTCTTCGGTGTAGGTTGACCTATATTTATACTTTATTTCCACATCGGTATTAGTCTCGACATTTGATTTTTGTTTACTTCCAAATAAAGAGAGAAGTATATGGCGAACCGTTTTAATTAAGTACGTGAGTAGCAATAGGTCAACCATTAAAATAATGGAGAGCAAGATAATTTCCCAGTCCAATATTATTATTTCTACAACATACGAGTTATTGTACTCCTACTCCAAGATCATCAACTGGCTTACTGAAACTCTGTCCCAAATCTCTTATAGCTTCGTTAATTTTATTTATTGGAATTAAAACCAAAAATTGCATTTGCTCCGAAATGATTTGCAATGGCGTAATAGTCCAGAAAACACCTTTGATTTGATGATGTTTCCGACAATCGTCTTCGCTGTCTGAAGTGAACCAAACTAATTGCACTATTCACCGTCAGAGTACTTACTAACTGAAAACCACAAATACTGCACCCAGGAAAATCGGTTATGATCGCATTGAGAACTATCTTCTTGGTACTTTAGGGAACTCAATTCGGCCACCTTAAATGCACAAATTATGGAATTTGGGGAGTTTGAGAATAAGTACCGACCTTCAAATGATTTATCCATCTATAGGGAAAATCAATAATCCACGCTAAAAATAACAAGTACATGATTATGGACCAAGGTGGAAATCCAATTATTCGCAAATAACTCGCAAAAATCAACACAAGCACCGCAGTTGAAATAATAAGCGGTTCGTACCATTCGCCAAAATACAAATCGGGCCACCGTGATCCCAGCTCTTTTGGAGAAGATAAAATCCTTCTCACTATCCGATTCACTGTACCAAATGCAACGCCGCCACTGCCCTGAACAAAATTCCGCAATAATTCGTAATCACTTTTAGATATTTGAAACTGTAACCCTCCGTAATAAACTGTAGAGTCATCTACAACCACCAGGTCGGCAATGAGATCAATAAACTGACTGTAGTGCAACAGGATGGGATCGCCATTAAATTCTTCCTTTGCTGTGTTTCTACTTGTCTTTCGAGAAGTACCCAAAAACGTTATTAAGAATATAGTCGATATCAACAGCACCAGTGCAAAGAGATAACTGTTTCCCTAAAAATCCATTTCTTTTTCACCTGCCATACAAGAAGGTGTAAGTACTCACCATAGCTACATAGTTATTTTTTTACAATGAGACCAAAATAACAAGCACATATTTCGGGATATTTTCCTGATAAAGTATTAATATCTTTAGATTATTAATGTGAGAAAACTTAAGATATAGATAAGCTACTCACAGGTCATTCACCATAGCTTAATTTGCATTCATTTCTCGGTGAAATATTCCATGTTGTGGTAGATTTAGATTAACGATGTATATTTGATCACATTCGACAGTTTATTAGTATATAAAAAATGCTGACAAAAAAGGGAGGCAAGTAATGACAAAAACTTCTCTCCCCATTAATCTTCTACTAAGAAGGTAAACATCGATAAATGGATATAATATGCTACTATCTTATAACCCAATAATTTACTAAGCTATTTTGGTTTAACAAAATCAGCCTTATCTGCACAAGGGTTGTGCACAATTTATACTTATTTTAATGGGTTGCTGTCATAAATTGACCACACGATTTTTTTAAGTACCTAATCTACGTAGATATGAAAGAAAATCAATTTAAGGCAAAACAAGATTTATTTTTCGGCAACCTCTACACACTTATTCCACCCTTTCAGCAATCAAGATACCTCAAAATTCTTTGGGAAATAATCCCTAACAGCAACTTGCAGGTCATATTCACAAGCAGACCTTTCGCCTCATAAGTATTTTTTCAATTTGAGGAAAATATAGTCATCGCAGGACCTACATTTTCCTGGTAAATTTCTTTCCCGATAAGTTTCTGTTCTGGTGTGCGGAGCTTGGCAATCCATCTGTCGGAAATTTCCTCATTTCCAAATCTTCGCGTAATATTTTCTAAACAGTTGCAGCTGATATGCGCACTTCTCTTGCAATGACTGAAACTTTAATTTTACTATTTGTCAACACCAATTTTTGAATTCTTTATTGTCTTCTGTGGTTTTGCTTCCAGAGGCCTCGTCCGGGATGAGGATCCTCTTGTATGGATTCTCGACTCTAACAAAATTGTTTGTCCCGGATTCTTCACCACATACGACAATCCGTTTGTAGAAAATTTGAGTCTCATTTAAAAAGACAATACAAATTCAAAAGGAAGAAAATCCAAAACTACTCTAAATAAGTTCAACCATAATATTTTATGCGATACAATTTTGCTCTATTTAGCTAATTTACAAAAATCGATCACTTCAAAAATTGTTTTGATTACGTTCAATAAAAATGCTTTACGCAATTTCTTAAAGAGAACCGATCGTTATTTTTGTTGATTCTGTCACGTATTGACTATGGGTGCTATAGTTATTCCTCGTGTAATTCCACGTTGCTAAGTAAGCTGGACAAAATTCAAAATTTAGCAATTAGATATTCCCTTGGGGCATTTCCAACGAGTCCCGTCTGTGCTCTCAACGTGGAAGCGAATATTCTTCCGCTTGCTCTTCGCCGAAAGCAGTTAATAGTTAACTATTACCTGAAAGTACATCAAAATGATAAACACCCAAATTATAGATTACTTACCGATACAACTAGACCTACACGGTTATATAAATCGCAAGGTGAAAGAGCAAGACAATTCATGGAGGAGCTACAGTTACAAGAGGATAACATTGTAGATTTCACAAAGGTGGCTGTCAAGCACTGTGTAAATGAGCGCTGGCAGGAGCAATGGGCGCGGGTCGATACATCTTTGAGAAGAATTAAACCAAACCTAGGACCACTTTTTTTACTTGACGTGGAACGTCTGCACTCGACAAAGTTGTATCGGCTCGGTTTGGGACACACTGCTCTCACGCATAGTTATTTGCTGAAGGGTGAGGCACCATCTTTGTGTAATAGATGTGGTATCAATTTAACACCAGAGAACATACTTTGTGTTTGTGTAACATACCAAAATGAGCGTGACCTATTTAAAATTAGTGTGATATGGGAAACAAATTTTGCTAGTCAGGATCGCTGTCGAAGTGTGTTGGGATTCATGCGAAGCATTGGAATTTTAAATGATCTGTGATAATCTGTGATATTATGCGAGGCATTGGAATTTTGAATGAAATGTGATATTCTGTGATATTAGTATGTATGTATGTTGCTTAGTTCTTGTTCGTTGTACTTGTCTATATCTGTCTAAAAAGTAATAAAAATGGGTGATAGGCAAATGGCCTCAGCAGCCGAAGCCTTAGGTGGGGTTTTAGTGGGTATTCGCAACAAATGGGAGAGCCCCACACTACTCTGGAACTTCCTTCTAGAGTGTGCATAAGGAGCATTTCCCCATCTATACAAAAAAAAAAAAAATACAAATAAAAAAAAATTACGTTATCTTAATAATAGTGTTTTCTGTTACAAAACTATACTATGTTGCCTTAACACAATATAGAATGAAACCTGAATATTTTTAACGTTTCCTGGTAATTTTTTGTACGATTAACTCTTATTATGCGATTGATTAGGTACTGAACTGTCTACTTTTACAGTCTGCTTTCAACCAAGTTCATGTTCTCGCGGTATGATCTATTAATAGTGCACCCCAAGGCCAAACCGAAACGGACATAATTTGTTTCTTGAAACTTTCGCTTTAAAAGTAGGAATTTTTAACTGAAACTGTTACTATTTTGCTTCTAAATATATGACAATCAAAACACCTAACTCGGTCGGATTCGCTTAAGCATGGCATTCGCGGTGAAAATCGTGCTTAATATTCCCCACCCCCCACCCCACTAATTGTCGACACAAGTTCATCATACTTGACTTGACCAAACCTCTTTCTTCTAATCTCAATTATAATCAGGGTGTGTCAAGAATATATCGCCTTTTTCTAACTTAGTGAGGGATACGCATATCTGCTACTCATTTCACCCTCGCACACATCTCTGACTTGCAATTGATATTCCAATTCATCCCGCCTAAGATGCTTAACTAACATTATAAAAACACAAAATTTCTCCTACAATTATAATCCCGGAAATAGAGTAACTACTCCAAAAAGATTATTTCAAAATGAACAACACAAGTAGTGTACAAAAAGTCGAGCCCCGCGTTGGGCGCCAAAATCTGCAACGCGAACTTGGCTAATAGTCAAGGCAGAAGAAAATACGCAAATTGAATAATTGGCGCTATCACCCTACCGGAATTTTCCCTGACTGTCGTCTCTGCTTATGTAAGTGTTCGGCAGGGAAGTGGAGACGGGACGGGTTCCACGTTGGCGGGAACCTACTAAACGGTGGGGACGGACTGGCAAGTTTTCTCCCGCAAGTTGCTGTCTGACAGCAGAAAGAACAAAATAATAACACGGGGCGAAAGTCAGGAGAGTATGATACATTCTTTTCTTACCGCTTTAAGTAACCTTTGATTTGCGTGGTTATTAAAATTCGACGTTTTACTTGATATTCTCACGTCATGTAGATATCTTATTTGTAATCCACTAGTTTACTCGTAGATGTAAGTTAATTTCTGTAGTAGATTTCTTATTATCTTAGTTCTTTGTCCTGCCGTTAGAGGTTATCCTAGTGTTAGTTCTTTTACTTACTTCTTTGTCTTGTTGCTAGAGTTCGCGCTTTGTACCTTTCTGCACTTACCTTTTACGTTTATCTGGATCGGTCATTTTATGAAGGTTGACAGCGACGAACGACGCGATAGATGTTTCTACATTACCGACTTTGCAGAATTACCCGCCATGCAACTAAACAGCTGACTAATCTACATGACCTACTCGAAGTTTATACCTGGAGATTTCGATATTTGTTCCGGAATTATAACTGCAAGTATAACGAAACCTCTTTGAAGATTAACGACTCTGTAAATCGCTGCGTTATACCTGATACTATGTGCTTTGTCTTTGTGATTACCGAAGATTTGACTTTACCGATATCGAGACTCGCTTAGTCGCTTTTGTTTACGTTACTTTCTGATTACTACGAATACTACTAATATTTTCTCTGACAATGTGTTGATCCTCTTTTACTAAAAATCAATTTAAATTCAGATATTGACATTGCAGATTTAGACATATGTCACAGTGACCTATTTGTAATATTTTTGAGACCATTGATTAACTCACCCTCGATTGTGACGTCAATAATTATTGTTTATATGCTATCTCTATCAAGTATTTTATTCCTTTAGCTTGTTAAGACCAGAACATGGATCTCTTGGTCTGCCTTACTACTACAGTTCCTTTTTTGCTTATCTTTGCTTGCGTATAAGAACCTCGAAATTCACTCCGACCCACCTCTACTTTGTTTGTGCTTATCATGTGCTTGTCTCAAGGTAATTTTGTTACATTTAAAGCCGAGATTGAACGTAACATATCCGAAGGATATTATAATATTCAAATTAAATCTTGTCCAGTTACGTATCACCGCAAGTGTAGGTATGTAGTGGTGTCGTAAGCATCGCATAAACATCACCGTGATTTACAACATCTCAAAGGTTCATGAAATAAAATATTCGTATGCAAAACCTGAAAGAAGTAATTAATATTAGTAATTTAGTAACAAGTGCCAGAGTATGATCAAAGTCGAGAAGAACTACGAGCGTGTGTCGTACAATATTTGACTTTATACTGCACTGGAATTGAACTTCGTTTTAGTTCATCAGGTTTTGTTGATATTAACGTCTTGGTAATCGTAATGTCAGAATATTGTAACCTTATTGGCCTAGTGACATAATGCGTTATTTCCCGTACTGACTCTAAAATCGATATTTATCAATATGTGTCTCGTAATGCAATGTACTGTGCACTTTTATTTATAAAGCGACGTTATTTCCTATAAATGGAATATACCTTTAAACGTAAATTGCATTCAGACGTATGATACATTACCGTCATAAAGGTAGTAGTACAATGTAACGGTCTCCACGGAAACGTTCGCGTTTCTGAATCAATTTGTCCATTAGTCTGGTGAGATATGCTGAGAATTATAAATCATAAGATTATTGTTCACAATTTTTAAGCGAATATGAACGTTTACTGAGAATTAGAAATAAGCGGATTTCTTAAATTACCTGAATGGTACTAAATAAATACGTTTACTTTAAAATTTCACATCAACCATTTTTCGAAAATTTTCCATATTTAGAGAGCAATACAGGGTGTCCCAGCACGAGTGGAACTGCATTAGTAACTTTGTTGTTATTGAAGATCGCGATTTAATTCATCCATGCCTGTATTATAGTTTATCTTGTTTGGTTTATGCATATTTACTACACCCCTTGTTTAGTTTGGGGGATCGTGTTATTTAGAAGTTCGTATATTTCTACCTCAACTTATTTGTTTATTTATTGAATAAACGCTACTTGTTTCGAGTTACAAAAGTATAATAATTTGAATACGTTGAACATATTGAATACTGTTAGAAATATAATACATTATAACGACGTCAATAAAAAAAACAGTAGCAAATAGTGTGCATTGCTTTAGTTCGAGTTGTTTAGTAAAATCATAATTTTGAATTTTTCCGTAAGAAACTTTGTAGACATTACATATTACAAACTGTAGGTGATTAGAGCCGTTTTGAAATGCACACGTGTGAGCGCGAAACCGTGGAAATTTAATTGCGTCCAGTGACTTATGAAACGATGGATGAAATAGGAAAAACACATAAGCGACATGTAGACCATCTACGTAGAAACGTTATGAATGGACCATCAGAGATCGATGAACTCAGAACGAACAATCTACGTACTGATGACAACAGACTTCAGGAGGAGGAACCAGTAGAGACCGCGTAGGAGATACAAAAGAAAATATGACAGTAACAACCGGCATCCAAAGACCACAAAGGAACGCCGAATGACCAGTCGTTTTGAGATTTCGTGGTGTCTACTAGGAAGGGAGGAGTGTTGTGTATTGAGTAGTTGAATCATAGATACATCAGAAAACAGTTGTTAGAGTTGTCAAAATAACGTGAATTTTGCATAATTAGTTTTAAAAGTAATAAACCATTTACAATAAAGCGGGCATTTAATATTAAAAGTATTAAATTAAAAAAGTTGAGAGACCTGGTAAATGGTCAAACTGGAGGCGACATATTGAATTGTTCTCAGGACATCGTGAGGTGCTTGATGTGGTAGATGGTACTCTTTCTGAGCTCGTTGCACCAAAAGCAGGAGCTTTGGTTGAGGCATATAGTGCTCATGAGAAGGAATTTAAAAAAATTTCAGAAAGCAGATGCACTGGCACAACTTATTTTAGTCACGTCTATGAATGAATCCAATATTGATCTAACATTAGCTACATGTCGGACTGCAAGATTATCGTGGGAAACTAACTTCAGTGTATGGATAGAGTTCAGGCATTGAATAAGTAATTTTAGGACTTATTCAGTGGTTTAGGTCAACGAGTAGACAGATGTATGGAAAATTTCGTTCCGTGCGGAAAGGATTCTTCGGAAAACACACATACACACAGTTCGATTGCAGCGTAATTTCAGTGATTCAAATGAACCATACAGGAAATAGACAACTCAATTCCTCAAAACCTTCCCCATGGATATTTAATTTGAGGTTTTGAGGAATTGAGTTGTTTATTTACTGTATGGTTCATCACCCCATTTAGAGTATGGATCAACCACGAGTTTTTCTGATTCAAATGAACCTAGTGAAAGCTCAATTCCCTGATTTGCTCTGAATGAGTTGTCCCCTGATTATTTCGAATTTACCAGCGTGTGGGATTCGGTTCCTCTAGTGGATCGTACATTAAATAAACTTACAGAAATGAGATTACCCGACCAGAAAAATGATTCTATAGCTTATATGTTGCATCAGGAATTAACAAACAGTGGAAATCCTGGTGGAAATGAAAAAGTTGCGAAAGAGAACTCGAGGAAATGTTTAAAGTGTAATAAGGTTGGCCCTTTTTCAAAAAATTGTCCAAGAAAATTTACAGGAAACTCTTCGCTTTCAGCAGAGAATCTGGCAAATATGAAGTGGAAAGCGTCTGGAGGAAGTATACAGGGTGGGCCACTAGTGTGTGGATGGAAGATTGTGGGTTTATTAGCGCACATATTTAAAATTCATTGTCGGGGCATGTTGAAGGACCCTTAAGGCTACAACCTAAAAATATTTTCAACGAAATTTCAATTGTCATACAGGGTGATTTATATCAAAATTGCATTTTTTTAATGGAACCCCCTGTATATTATTAGATATTTTGATTCCTTGGTAAATTTTAGTGTGACTATGTATTACACATTATATCTAAAATGAGTCCTTTAACCGCAAATGATCGTTTTTTTCAAAAAGTAGAAGTCCAGTAAAAATTGAATATCGCAGTTATCATTAAACTGAGAAAGCCGTGACTCGGCAGTATTACTAATCTAGTAATGTACTAACATATGCCGAACGGCTAAAGTTAAACTTGTTTTGTCTTAAAAGAAATCACTCCGTCAATTTTCAAAATTTCAATCAAGGGTAGCTTGATACTTTGATACATAGTAATTAGTAGGCCTTTTACTTCAAATAAAACAAAACAACTAAAAAACGATAAAAAATCAAAGTAAAAGTGCTGAATCCAAATTTCTTCTACGATGTGCATCAGAACATTTTGAAGAAGAGCAAAAACATTGAGTACTTAAAAATTCATAGTAAAGAGCACCGTTTAAAATATGTTATTCAAATTCCATTTTTCTAACATCCGTTTTTAGATAGACAAAATCGGTTGCATAAGTGACATTTTCGGAAATTGACCGCCATCTTGAATTCTGTACTTCCTGTTCAGATGTGCCAGAGGTGCCGACATCGATATTCGTGTTCAGCAGGTACCAATTAGTAAAAAAAGCCTAGTTTGGCCAAATGTTGTCTGAAATGCCCCTAGGTCAAAAAAATTTCGAAAACTGAACCAGTCTATTACAACCAGAGCAACGCACAAAGAGTAACGTACTATTAACAACCGTCTCAATTTTGAGGATATTTACGGGATGAATACAGACTATGTAATACAATGTGATCATTAAACATTGCCAGTACCGGTCCTCTTAGCTCTATATACGACATACGACCGTGGATCTATATTATTATTGTAGGTGGGAATCCTTTTAGTAAATACATAATGTTTCTTACCTACTATTTTGTTCTGTAGAATATGAATTTCCGATAACTTCTCTATAAAACGCATTCGAAACATGCTGTACTGTAGCAGAAGAGCTTTTATGTGTACATTTAACGAGTATCTACTACCCCAATTATTCTGAAACTTTAATCCTTAAATGCATTTTACTTACTCCGCTCACAATATTTTATGATGAGCTGCATAATTGAATTGAATTTTTATCTCAATTGTATGAACTAAATTAATGAAGCTCGTGTAGTAGAGTACTATAAAACCATTGCTCTTGGCTACAGTTAATGCCAAGTAAAAATATGAAAAAATATGTTTCGCGATCTATCTTTAAGGTGATAAATTTTTGACACTTTCCGCATTCTTATGCCAGCTGCCATTTATAAGATGGACATAACATAAACACTCATAAACTAGGATTAATTAACTGAAAGTTCATAGAACCTTCAACGTCGAAGTATTTTAAGATTAATCGTGTAAATTTTAACTAGTGACACTTGAGATATCTTAGAATTTCGATTCGAGTTACAGTCGAGTAAACTTTAAATCCCTAATTGCCATATCTATGGTAAAAAAATATAATTATTTTTAAAGGTTAACCCATAAACATGCATCTAATAATCATTTCACAAACGTCATTTATAATTAAACGCTTCAACGTAGTGCTTGCGTGTTATATTCACTCTTTCACTCTCAGCCAATCCATCAATAGACGGTTTCGGCGTAAGTTTGACCTTGAAAGGATAAAGAGGAAAGTTCTACCCTAGTTTTGTTTCTTTCTAACAGTGTCGCCACACATAGCGCAATATATCCCCAAATTGATTAGTTATTTTTACAATATTACCATATAATTGGTAATCCATGTTTATAGTAATATAACCTTACAAAACATTCGCATAACCTCATTTATTCGTTTCTGTCATCATTATTTCCTGGCCTTTTCTAGTTTTCTCATTGCATATTTCCATTTATCTTTCACGTTCCACCTTTGATTATTTTATTTCCTTTTGCATTTTTTGAATACCCTGTCTTTAACCTTTATACCAAACAGTTTTTTTTTAAACTAAACTGTACACAATCCTTCTTGCTCAAGTAAGTATTATGTAAAAAGAAGGTTACATTATGATTGATTCTGTTCATTATAGGAGGCATTACAATGCCAAAGTGTCATTACAAGGATTGCAACAACACCTCAAAGTCTAAAAGGTGTCGCAATCTCCGTTATCATCCGTTCCCTAAACCACTGCGGAATATGGCGAAGAGCTTATTATGGATTGAACTATGTGGAAACAACAATCTAAACCCATCTAATATTACTAAGAATGTGTATATTTGTGAGCAGCATTTTGCTACAAGGGAATCAGAAAATCCAGAACCGCATCAAAGCTACTTGACTAACCCTCTACTACGTCTAAATAGTTTGGATATTCAAAGTTTCATCGAAGTCGGCTCAGGTTCCCAAGAAGATAATGTGAATCTGGAAAGGGCATTGGCTAATGTAAATGTTGGAAGTGGAGATCACAGTGATCACACATACACTAAACGATCAACTAGCAACTATCATCATACTGCCACCCAAACAGCTTCAGAACCCGTGGATGTGAAGTGCAAAAATGTGTCGAAGTTGAAGCAGTTTCAAAATTGTTTCTTGTTCTCAGAATTCCAGCACAGCAAGAATTTTCACTATTTCACTGGATTGACGTTACCACTGTTTGAGGCGTTATTTAATTTCTTGGATGAAAATGTAATGTCAAAATTAATGTACAATCATAAAAGTTATGCACTAAGAACCAAATGTATGCAACTGTCCAACAAAGATAAACTGTGTTTAGTGCTAATTCGTTTAAGAAGAGGTTATACACTGAAAGAATTATCTATATTTTATAACATGAGTGTCACCCAAGTGTCGGCAATATTTTATACGTGGGTGCAATTTGTTTATTTACAAACGTGTGTTCTGCGCAATGCTTTCATGAAAGGTGCTCGTGCCACTGATATAAGACACATGCCTGCTTGTTTTCGCCTACTTAATGACAAAGTGACCGTAGTTCTGGATACCACTGAAGTCCGGATGCAGATGTCCAAAAATTTTCAGCAACAAGGAAACACCCATTCCAGCTACAAGCACTACAATACGATCAAGTTTTTAGTGGGAGTGTCTTCAAGAGGGGCAGTTGTATACAACAGTGAGGGTTACGAGGGGTCCATTTCGGACATCGAACTATTTAAGTCGTCAGACATTTCTGTATTTTTGGAAGAAGACGATGTGCTTATGGCAGATCGTGGTTTTACCATTCAAGACATTTGTGATGAGCACAAATATAAATTAATCATTCCACCTTTCTTGGCTGGCAGGACAAGATTAACAGCGGAAGAAGAAATACTAACAAAGAAAATTGCAAAGTGTCGTATTACTGTAGAGCGCTCCATCAGACGAATAAAAAGCTACCAAATTTTAGCAAAGCCAGTGCAAATTTCAATGTTACCCATTATGTCCAATATATTTAGTATAATTTGTTTTTTGGTAAACTTTGAAAAACCAGTTTTAACATAATTTTATTATAACATTATGTATGTAATTATAACAAAGAGCACAAAATATAGTATAGTATACATTATTCTTGAAAGTAGTCCAACTCAAATAATGGTAAGTTCCTCGGAATTCGCATTAAAAATAATTCTGGAATGTACATATTATAATACATTTTTTTAAGCTTTTTAGTTATGTCGTCAATAACATGCCTAGAGATATCAGATAATTGTACCTTAAAAACTAGGAGACCTACACTTGACCACACAACAAAATCACATTCGGGAACTTCAAAAATTAACATTGTTGTAGCAACCTGATAATTATATGGATGGTTCGCTTTTAAAAACACTTTATTATTTTCCTCATACGCGAAAAAGTTGCTCTGTTGTTGACCTGTTAACACACTGTTCCACTGACATGGATCTTTGTCTTCGAGCACTTTAGGGCATTTGATTTCTATGACTCTTGTGATCACTCCGTTGGTTGTCACAACTCCATCAGCACTACACGCTAGGTGAGGGTATTTCTTGTTCATATACAGCCCTACTTGCACAAATTGTTCATTTGGTTGAATGTGATCGGCTACATACTTGTCCCTTGCCTTCGCCTCATTAACTTGACCGTATCTCATTGCTGCCGTCAATAAATTTGGTGTTAATTGCCATAGATTTCTTTTTAAATAATTGTTTTTTGCGGAAAGACTCACTAGGGATGAAGCGGTCTTTGCATTCGATGCTGTGATAAAGTAGCTTCTCCATCTAAACCAACCCAACGAATGCTGAATTTCGGCACCTTCTACAGAAAAGATGTTCTTTTGTTTTATAAGTTCCTGATCCATATTCTTCTTGAAAATTAGAACTTGTTGTATGACGATATCTACACTACTTTGGTCCAATTTGAAGTCATCATAACGTAGTTGGAATAAAGTTTCGAACATTGTAGGAAGACGTTCTTTTTGTAAATCGCAAATAAAATTGTTTATATTGACAGTTCTTTCATAGTTGTCTGGTCTTGGATCGAACGTTGCCCTGCGAATTGGTTCGAATCTCACATTGCCGTACTTCTTTTGGGAAATAGGTCCAGGTTTTTTCAGTTTAGCACCCAAACCCCACTGCCTTAACTTGCTGGTGCATGCAGTGTTATCGTGGCCGTTTTCTCCGCAAAACTTCTCCAGGAACAGCAAAAGAGCGCTTACGTGGCTACATTTACCTAACGCAGATTGTTTACACTCGCATCTACCATTAACTACAGCTCCCGATGCTTTGTTTAAAGTTATCACTACAGAGTACAATTTATTCTTATTAAATGATGCAAAACACTTTGCTTTTAAAAGGTAAAATCGGTTATCACTGCTGTCAAACACTTCGTGCAAGTGATCGCTGCTTACAAACTGGCTGCCACGTCGAAACGGTTTTTCTGTTACACCTGTATTGTTGCTGACATAATCTTCATTTTCAAAGAAGCATCCCACAAGATAGGTATAGATGTGGCCCTTGTTGAAATATTGGGGGATTTCACGAGATGGGAATCTTGCCCACAGAAGAGTCTCATCAGATGCAGGACCTGATGCAGCAGTTGAAGTGGAAGCAGTTACAACAACGTTCCGTTTCATATCGTACCATTTGCCTCCATCAATAGCTAGGGAAATACTATTACTGCGTCCCGCTTCAATACAGTTTACAACCCTACAAATAAATGAGATATAAGTAATTCTACTAAGCACAATAAATTTGCCTATTTACCTTTGCACTAAATCAGTTTTATTTCCTGTTTTCTTTAATGCACGACACTCTAACCACCTTTGCAACTCCAGGTTAGAATGGTCCTCAATATTTACACCATGGCGTAAAACAGCACCAGGAACATCTTCTGGTAATAGGGAAATCGATGGTTGATCCACTAATAAAATTGTACATTGCAATATATTATAAACATCTATAAAGTATAAAACTACTTACTTGAGCAAGAAGGATTGTGTACAGTTTAGTTTAAAAAAAAACTGTTTGGTATAAAGGTTAAAGACAGGGTATTCAAAAAATGCAAAAGGAAATAAAATAATCAAAGGTGGAACGTGAAAGATAAATGGAAATATGCAATGAGAAAACTAGAAAAGGCCAGGAAATAATGATGACAGAAACGAATAAATGAGGTTATGCGAATGTTTTGTAAGGTTATATTACTATAAACATGGATTACCAATTACATGGTAATATTGTAAAAATAACTAATCAATTTGGGGATATATTGCGCTATGTGTGGCGACACTGTTAGAAAGAAACAAAACTAGGGTAGAACTTTCCTCTTTATCCTTTCAAGGTCAAACTTACGCCGAAACCGTCTATTCAAAAGTACGCCACAGGAATTTTCCAATGATCATTTATGCACGTTAACAGGTACACCATACCATGGCATATTTGGCAGGAGGCATTCTAGACCGGGAGGCAGCGTACATAGTAACTAAACTAAATACAGGCCGAAAGTACGTTGAAAACTAATAATAAAATCACTCGTCTGCCAGTCGTAAGTGGCAGCATTAACTTGGGGCGGCGCTGAATAGGTGACTTCTTTAAGTGATCAACTAAATTACCAAACTATAAGGGTCACGGAAAAGATTTCTATCAAGAAATCCCATTTTTTCCATAGTTTTCAAATATGCTATGGCAGACGATTTCAAGTGCAGCGTTGGTAGCGAAAGACGCCCTCCAATGTAGGGAAAAACACCCCTGAACTAAACCATGAGGACCGTATCAAAATTATACATAAAAAATTCCTCTGTATGTCACTACTTTAAAATATATCCTGGTAGACGATATTAAGTGTAGCTTTAATAGTGGCAGACGTCTTAGAAGTTAAAAAATTTAGGTATAGTAAATCCCAGCGAGTGCGAGCGTGTGAGAGATAAGCGCGCGAGAGCACAACGAACAGAGATAGCTATAGATTTACGCACCGCTTGGAATTACCAAACGAATTAAATTAGGGAAAATAATAAATTGTTTATTTCGCGATAAGATTGTCGGTATTTCTTGAATTCTTCTCAGACTGTATAACAGAAAACTTGAAGAGAAAAGAAGATAGACCTTCAGCTCGTTCTAAACTATCCTCTGACTCCAGTTCCGCTTCCGTTGTCTATGCAACATTGATGGATCGATGATTAAAATCGACAAGTTTGTTTTGCTGAAACTTTTTCGGAAGTATGATTTCTTCAAGTGCTCCTAGTCCATCGCCAGTTGTAGATGTTGTTTTAATCGATGGATTATTTTTTTGCATCTTTTAAAAGATCTCCGGTAAACTTTGAGCGATTTTCTGAACACATCCTCGGCAAGATTTGTGCTGTCTCAGCGAGAGAAGTACATCTTACTTTTGACAGATAGTTACCCCTTTCATGAAGGACGCAGAACATGATCGTTGCGATCAAAATAAGGAAAGATTACAATCCTACTCAATTTCTGTTTCCACTCAGAAGCAGCCTGCAAATTTTATAAAACCACTTCGCAATGATAGCTCAAAGCGTCTCTTATAGATTACTTATACCGTTCATAGGCAAAAAAGATCTGTTGTGCTTTACTTGGAAGGAAAGTTGTGTTTGCCACATATGAAGATAAGTGCTATAAATTTGTGACAAGGGAGGATGATGTGGTAAAAACTGAATTGTGCTGCAGCCACTAAGAGGCAGATTCTCGAATAATTTACCATCTTGGTAAACTACCAACAAGTAGCAAAGTCATTATTAGCGCTTCCGATATGGATTGCTGTTATTGCTTTGGGAAATGTAAAATTGACGCTACCATCAAGGTATAGATGGAAGTGGGTCTCTTTTCCAATAACACACAGAAATTCATAAATCTTCAAGAGATGTTCGTGAATTTGGGTGTTGATGTGTGTAACGAGCAGGGTAACGCGTTACCGGGTTCCCACGCATTTACCGGATGTATGACTTGTGTATGGTCCTCATGGTTTAGTTCATCGCAATTTGAGCGAATGCCACCGAAAAATGTCTGAGTTTCTACAATCCGTTTGATTGAAGTGGATGGAACTATGTGAATCAGAAGTTTAGAATCAAATGGTTTGAAAGATCTCAGTAGTCAGTATCCTATCGGTATCTCTGTTGGTTATGCTCTCGCGCGCTTATCTCTCACACGCTCGCACACGCTGGGATTTACTATACCTAAATTTTTTAACTTCTAAGACGTCTGCCACTATTAAAGCTACACTTAATATCGTCTACCAGGATATATTTTAAAGTAGTGACAAAAAGAGGAATTTTTTATGTATAATTTTGATACGGTCCTCATGGTTTAGTTCAGGGGTGTTTTTCCCTACATTGGAGGGCGTCTTTCGCTACCAACGCTGCACTTGAAATCGTCTGCCATAGCATATTTGAAAACTATGGAAAAAATGGGATTTCTTGATAGAAATCTTTTCCGTGACCCTTATAGTTTGGTAATTTAGTTGATCACCTAAAGTAGTCACCTATTCGGTGCCGCCCCAAGTTAATGCTGCCACTTACGATTGGCAGACGAGTGATTTTATTATTAGTTTTCAACGTACTTTCAGCCTGTATTGTCGAATTTTTTGTCGCTTATGGTTTAGTTACTATGTACGCTGCCTCCCGGTCTATTCTTGACACTCGGGAAAATCTGTTCCATAATCTACAATGCCTAGGTACATATTTTTTTTGTACATCGTTCCAATCGACTTGTTTTCGAGTGGCCATTTCGACCACCATCAAACAACACAGTAATTCTTTTCCATTACTTTTCGATAGAGAATTTTTTTTGTAAGGTAAAGCATCTTTGGTAAATCCTGGTGATTCATTAACGTACTGGTACCAAGATCTAATTGTGGAAGTTGCTGGCGGTCGGTTAACGAATTTGGACCTCACATATTGATAAGCCCGTGAACTGTAAAAATGCAAAGTTAGAAAATTGCAGGATATTTGCCGTCCACTTTTCCAGAAACTATAGCATATGCAATCTCTCATTATTATAAACCATCTAGAAGTAATTTTGTAAATTTAGTTACAGAGTAATCTTAAGGAATAATACCTATATTTTACTTGCATACTCACTTCAGCTTTTTCAGATATTAAGTTCTTGTTCTTGAGTTTACTTAATAATGATTGTAAATTCTGAATTCTTTTTTTCTGTCGAATTGTTCGCTGTCGTAATCTTTTAATGGTTTTCTTCTGATTTTGTATCGTATCTTTCATCATAAAAATGTATTTTTGTGTTCTTGGACTTCTCATGTTTATTGCAACGGCCATCCAATCTCCTGGATAAAGTGTAGAACTGGAGGTGAGGGTGTTGCAACAATTTAGATCCATATTTTCTTCATCACGGAAAGTGTCTACCGTCATTTCATGAACTTGTACAGACAACCTATAGATATTTTCATTTGAATTTGGAAAAATCGATGAAACCGAAAAAGCCTTCAATTTTAATTTATCAAAAATACTTCTACGTTCCAAACAATCTATTTTTTATTATACCTGAATCACAATCTCCGTTTTAAACACTCACATGCATGCGAAAAAAGGCCTTTAAAACACACGTGCTTTAAAGTTGCTAAGTGACGATACTTCAAGTATGATTTTTGAAACTGTCATCTGGCGCTGAAATAAAAAATCTTCCTAGGTCGCTTTCTGTAAATGCAGAACATTTCTTAGGCTTGTACCTATCCTTTGGTTGAAGCTTTCACAAACGCGCGTAATTTAGGATATGCTTCCAAATCTGTTCCACTTTTTAATCGCAGCATTGTTTGAAGTTTTGAATGAATGCACCAAAAGATACCTTTGACATTTCTTTCATATATGCGAGCACTATCGATGCATTTAAGACTTTATTCGTAAGTAACATACATGGAAACAACTTTTCATATGCTTTACTGGATTTGGATTTTACACCTACCAAAGTTTCTTTAGATTTTACAAGCGATTTAATGGACGGTGTATTAACTTTTTCAACGGAAATCGTTTTTTTCTACTCATATGGGTTAATGAATACATTAAACGTTCCAGTTTTATGAAGTAAGAGTATAAATTCCTCACATTATTGGATAACAGCATCAGTGAGTAATAATTAATCACTGGGCATGGCTTTAAAAAAACTCACCGCAGCCAGCCAATGAGAAAGTTTCATAAAAAAACAAAGAATCGATCTGTCAATTTATCTGGTTGTAACTTCCCTTTGTATCGAAATATAGGACTTGCCCAAATCTAAGAATTAGATTTAATAACACAAAAAACAAAATGTGAATGCAAAATTGTATAATTGAAAATCAATATTAAATTAAATAAAACATCCCATGCTAATTTAGACCGGTTTTAATATAAATTAAGTTGCTGAATTGAACTCAAAGGAAAAGATCACTGTATTACCGACGCATCGAATTTGAAAGTGTCAAGATGGATAGCGAAAATGAAAATAATGAAGTTGTACGCCGCCAAATATAACACAAACGGCAAAAAAATTATGTTTAAATTTATAGCCGGAAAAGTCTAAATATCTTGTTACATGCACGATTGGCACACGCAACAAAATTACCTTAGATAAGCACACGGTAAGCTCGGTCAAGGTAGAGGTGGGTGTGGGTGGGGTTCTGGGGTGTTCGATTTCAAAAGCTAGTAATAAAAAGGAGGGTGAGTAATCAGAAAGTATAAGCATAAATCAGGGTAGGCAAAAATATAAGCAAAATATATAGCAAAATATAGGCGCCACTTAGTCTTGTAGAAAAATGAATGAGAGATACTTACTATCAGGGGACAATGTAGACTAAGAGAACCTTGTAAGCTGAAAAAGAAATACAAGAAATAGGGATACAAATAATACACAAAAATGTCACGATCGGGGATTAATTTAATGAGTCAAAATAAATGATGAAATGGATCAACAGTACTACAAATTTGAACACTGTAATACCTAGATCTTATTCTCACAATTCTGGTAAAATAATATATAAATTCGAATCTAACCCAAATATAAAATCTTATAAAACAAAGCTTTAATTAGGCAAAACAAACTCGAGATCGAAAAGGTGTCGTTAAAAGGCCAAAAGGGTTTCCGCAAGACAACACGGAATCAAAATGTTAAATGACACAAAAATTTTAATTACAACTTCGACAAGGTATCGGTCGCTAAATGAGTCACAAACGTTAATGCACGGGGAAAACGGAGAATAAACTTACCTTGAAACTCGGGTCGCAACCATTCGAGCTCGAAGGAGTGCGCTACGCCAATCCTGAAATCAGGTTAAACACAAAAAAATACTATAAGGGTTAATTGATGCACTAGGCGAATACGTGCCCAAAAAGGTTTAACGTTCGAAGCTAAATAGCTGATAATACACACACAAAGAAATTGTAATCGTCTTCAGCGAATAAAAAAAATCATTTACATTACAGAAAAAAACAAAATTTTGGGGTCGATATAAAGCTTCTTCAACTCACAACAGTTAGCATAAATGAACAGCAAAATATTTACACGAGTAATCTAAATAATTCAATTTTCACACAAGGCACAATTTAAATAATATCAAAACAACACAGTAAACAAGGTAAATATGAAGTCAATTAAATACACACAAAGGGGGTCGTAAATAATTTAAGGTTAGGTCGGAGGTTATGTAGTAATTTTGAAGTATTTCGAGGTAATTCGGGCCAAAAATATCCAGCGTCGAAAATTTGGTAATCAATCGTTGATAAATAAATTCGGTAGTCAAACGTCTAGCAATGGTAGATAATAAGGGCGTCAATACTTGCGGTTATAAATCCAAAATAGAGATACGTCGTCAAATGTGGTTTGAAAATGTCGGTGGGTCAGGTAGAAATCTGCTTAACCGATCACGTGATGAAGATCCAAAATGGTCGGCAAGGCGTCGGGGTCGTTATCGTTTATTAGACCACGTTGTGGACAAATTAATTCCAGCGTAGATTCCAAATAATATTCCAATAAAACTAATCCAAATACAATAGTAGGTAGATAGGGGTCCAAAGGAAGAAGCTCCTAGCTATTTAGGGCGTTCTGTGAATAAATCCGTATAAACGTTTTCACTGAAGCAGCAAGACAAAATATCGTAAAATCTTCAGAGAACAGCACGAACAACCATTAATAACCCATTTCTGGAATGTTCAAACGAACAGAAACAATGGCGACGTGTTACTTCAACAGACGAAACGGTTCTACTTACGCGGAATCGGAAACAAAGAAAGGTGGTTAAAAAAATGCGAAAAGAATAAGCCTACGCCATCTAGTGAAGAATACAATTTCGATACAGGACATCTCTACTAAAAATAATCAGATATCTCCACAAAAGCGGCAGGGGTCGTCACTTGTCTGTACAAACGGTCAAACGTAAAGGAATGCAACTAACATAAAATATTGATTTAAAAATGGATTTTCGAATTAATAAAAAAATATCGTCACAATCTTATATCGATCTAAGCTAAATATAAATATGAAAATTTGAATATTTCACTCCCATTTTCTCGACCTAAAAGATAACTACTTACTACTTACAAAAGGATCTTCAAAGTGTAAAAATAGGAAGTGAGGTTAAGTATTCGTACAAATTCTGTTACTTCGTAAGTCGCACATGCCTGTTATTTTGTCGTAGTTTTGGTAGTACCCGCATTATTCAATGTTTAGGCGATTAGCTATAATTACATATAGCAATAAACCCACAATTTAAACGATCAAATTTTAGGAAATGAGAAACGAAAGCTTGACAACCTTTTGACATCTCTGATATCATCTCAATTGTCACACTTTCACAGTATGGCCAACTTTAAATATTTATAAAATAACTCAACTGCAATTGGTTTGGTAACAAACGTCAAGTTTGAATATTTTCATTAAATTTTGCCAAATATTCGTAGAAAAAGTATAGTATTCTATTCGCATGTAATGGCTATTACTCATTCGAAAGAATTACGCCATTACGGCACTCGCCTTCGGCTCGTGCCGCAAACACATTCTCATGAGTAA